TATTTACATGACGATTCATAACAGTAGCAACATTACAGTTATGAAATAGCAACGAAGATAATGTTATGGTTGGGTCACAACATGAGGAACTGCATTTAAAGGGCCGGAAGGTTGAGAACCACTGTCAGCGAAGGCTCCGCGGAAAGGGTGACCCGGAGGGCAGCCCGGGCGCCTTCCTCAGCCTCGGCTTGTGCTCGCCCACCGCTGCCACAAAAAAAAAAAAAAAAAGGAAAAAATTACTCTCTGCGGTCCCAGGTCACATCACATCAAAGTTTTTTTTTTGTGTGTGAAAAACTTTGAAAGATAGTAGAGCATCGTAATTTTGAAATTAATTTGCTCTAACTCATACATTTGCGGTGGTTTGTTTTCTCTGCAATCACCGTGCGTATAGAGGATGCTGAAGTGAGAGGCTCTGAATCACAAATGACTTTCGTAAGTAACGAAGTTGTATGGCCACTCCCAGGTTCCGTGTGTGTGTGTGTGTGTGTGTGTGTGTGTGTTTCTCCAGCCACTGTGTCCGCGGGGACTGCTTGCGTATTTCCTCATTGCACACACCTGGCGCCACAGCCTGGTCCGTAGCAGGTGCTTGATAAGTGGTGAGTAAAGGGATCGCAGTGATAGCAAGAGAGTTTAGGGAGAACACAGGCGGCATTAAATTACACTGAAAGAGGAACTTACTGTCTTTTCAGTTTGCTTTCAAGCCTTCTGAAAGGGGGAACGTCTCAATTCCGTGCTAACATGTTTCTCATACCTGTTAATCTCTCCTTCTCTAACAAGGGCTTCTGTTGACCGTTTTATCTAAATAGAAATGAATAACTTTTCTGTTTCTTCTATTTTTATAATTGCTTTATTTTAGGGCTATTCATGCTACTTCCCTATTTATGGTAATTGTATACCCTTTGAAGAATAAAAGTATGTGTAGTTTAATGAATAAACTTATTAAAATTAACTAAGTGTAATAAAATTTACAAATTCACTTCCTTGCCGAAACCGGTTTGGCTCAGTGGCTAGAGCGTCAGCCTGCGGACTGAAGGGTCCCAGGTTCAATTCCAGTCAAGGGCATGTACCTTGATTGCGGGCACATCCCCAGTAGGGGATGTGTAGGAGGCAGCTGATCGATGTTTCTCTCTCATCGATGTTTCTAACTCTCTATCTCTCTCCATTCCTCTCTGTAAAAAAACCAATAAAATATATTAAAAAATAAATAAATAAATAAATAAAAATACACTTCCTAGAATTAAAAAACATATTAAATATAGATAAATTAAAAACATAAATTTGTTTAAACAACGTTTAAGAATTTATTTTAATTTAAAAATAAATCTGTTTATAAACTTAATATAAATTACAATTTGTTTCTGAAAAAGGGGTCATTTCAAGAAACTTCGGTAAATGGCAGTGCAGGTGATGCACAGCCGAGGCACAAGTTTCCAAGGAATGGTGTGAGGAGCTGAGTGGGGGAACACAGCGTTGTCTGAGACCTGTTTGAAGAGGATTGAGGGCCTTTCAGGAAGAGAACAGCCTGTACCAACCAGGGACGTGAGAATGTTGACACATTCTGGGACATACAAATAGATCCCTTTGGCAGGCACGGTGGAAGGACCTGGCAAGGGCTGGACGACAGGCGGGCTGGTTATGACAGGCCTGAGTGCTGAGTAAGGAGTTTGGATTTCATTTTAAAGGAGACGTTCTCAATTCCATCAGAATCAGCCACGCTGTAATAACAAAGATTTTGTTACTATCCTCCAATGAAATGAATAGATAATAAAACCCACCTATACACAAAAAGTTAATGTCAATATAAAATCCTACTTGTACTACTCAGGATAAAGAAGTATCTAGTAAAAAAAAAAAAAGAAGAAATATCTAGTAATAAATAAAGTGTGTTTGAGTGCGGGAACGCTCAGGCACAGGGAAGCGGTCTGTATAGAACTTCAGTGGATGCAACGGCAGCAAAGGCGCCCTGTCCAGGCGCCTGGAAAAAAAAGAAGAAATATCTAGTAATAAATAAAGTGTGTTTGAGTGCGGGAACGCTCAGGCACAGGGAAGCGGTCTGTATAGAACTTCAGTGGATGCGACAGGCGCCGTGTCCAGGCGCCTGGCAGACCGGCGGCCGGAAGACCACCAGGCCGCCGTGGGAGACGTGCTTTTCATTTCAGACATGGTGACCAGGTCTCGGCGAACTTCCAAACAAAACAGAGAGCAGCTGTCCCCCTACAGAGAGGGTAGCCGCGTGGCTGAGAAATGGGGTGGGCACTCAGACCTTACGAACAATACATTGTGTCCATGTGTAAAATGGGGTTGGGGTCTAGCCTCATACAATGACCAGCGTGGTTTAAAAAATATAATAATATATCTTATCTTTTAGTACAGTTTTAAATTCCCAGAATAGTGGAGCAAAGTACATAGAGTCCATATACTCGCCCTCCCACCCCGTTCTGTTTCCCGTAATGACAGCCACGGGCTGCGTAATGATGTTCCTGCGGGAACCACAAACCGCACATGGGGGAGTTTTATGGATCAGGGTTTGTTGGCTTCAGTCCTGTTGTCATTTTGTCAGATAATTCTGTGTTGTGGGGCTGTCCTGTGCCTCCTAGACCACACCCCCTCCATGCCGGGAGCACCTTCCCCAGGGGTGTTAAACGGTGTCTCCACAGATTGCCAAATGGCCCCTGGGGGCAAAATTGCCCCTGGTTGAGAAACCTTGTTCTGGGGCACTTGTTCTCAGCTCCGGGCCTCAGAGCTCCGCCTCTCCCCTCCCTGAAAGCCCAACCCAACACCCTCTTTTTATAGCACATGTTGTAACACCACTTTGATAATCCTGAAAGCGATTTACAAGTAACATAACCCATCCACACAATGTAAAAGCAATGCTAATGCCCTACGTGTAAGGCAAAGGAAAGCTGAAATGAATAATTTATAATAAAAGAGTAAGTATCTCAATAGGCGAATCTTTGGGCACAACTATAAAATAGAGTTTGATGCTTGTCCTTCTAATAAATATGCTTAGATTTAAGAGGAGTTAGAGGATCAGAAGGTAATTCAAGAAGAACAGGAAAACGAAAGCGCAATGATACAGGTGAGCACCAGGATAAGGGCACAGGAAGGATAAGTGACAGCAGACCAGTCTTATGTGCGTGTGATAAGAGAAAGGGGTACGTAGCCTTCACTGAAGTCTATAT